CCCCCCCCCCCCCCGTCGCTCGCACGCTCGTATCTTCCGTCGTCGACAGCCTCTGGCACGGGAGCGGGAGGATTCTTGAGAAGTGGAGTAGCGAGGATAGCACAGGCTGGGATCGGCCATGTCGCGCGGAGATTGGGTGCATGTTCATCAGACTCGGACTGCCAGGTGAAGTTGTGATATGTTCGGGCTTTGCTGTGCCCGCCCAGAGATACGGGGGGGGGGCTTATGGGTAGCTCTTGGCGAGTGGATGGCAAGTCTTCTGTTGTTCTGTTGGAGGGAAAGATAGCACCACTGCTGCAGTATGTGGTGAGGCGGGCGGCTTGGTTGTGGGACTCCTGTTGAGTGACAGTGACAGTGACAGTCTTTTACTTGTAGATGGAGGCAAGATGTATTGAGGACGAGGGTATCGTCGACGCTGAAAGCTACCACAAGCCTTTGGGTGCTCATCGGCGCGTATAACTCAGTTGTGGAACGTCCATGGCATGGGAGAGTTGCGCCCACGATACGAAGCGAGCATCAAGGAACGGCGGCAGAGGGTACACGCGCTCTTCCTTTCCTGACTGGTTTGAGGGCACGAAACCATGGATCATGTTGCGGGGTAGGACTGACTGCATCACTACATTCTCGCGATGTCGATCACGATGGCGGCAGTGAAGAGTTCTACCCGGATCGCTGGCGGAAGGGGGTTAAAATAGATCTCTGGCGCTGTGTTGTGATCGGGACTCTCTGGCATCGCGAATAGCGAGAGAGAAGTGCTGTAGTCTGGTGCAAGAAGCAGAAAAGGCAGCAGGGATGAAGGAGAACAGACAATGTCTATTTCTGTGTGGCGTTATTATTGTACAGCGGCACTGGTGTCCCCGAAGCCCGCGTCCGCGTAATTTACTGCGGATTTTTTTTTCATATATCAAGTGCTATTTGCAAAATAAAATACCGTCCGTGCCTGCAGGGCTCCGATGCGGACATGGAGGCCTTGGACAATGAGGGAAAGACCATCTTTTGCGACCCTGCTTGCGAGGACACAGGCACCGACATCTTCGGGGGAACCTGGTGCAATCACTTCGGTCTGGAGGGGTGCCGTGCTTGCGACGTCTACAAGTGGGTACCCCGTAAATGAACCATGTTACAAAGTACCATAGAAAGATGTCATACGAACGATGTGTGTGAAATGGACAGGTGTAAATTCGGGTGTTGTTTTCGCCTTGGGCGATGTGACCTACGCACAACGTATGTGCGAAATGGCCAGATGCATCTCGTGTGTGTGTGTTGTTGCCCTTGCCGAAGGCATGCATTTCAACCACCACAAGCGTCTACCCGCACAAAAACACGTTGGTCCCCTCTTGTGTTTGATTGGCTCCATCGATCGACAGCTGCGAGGCGTCTTCGGGGCCGTGCGTCCCCTGCAGCGGAGAGCTACCCGAGGAAACCACGCCGGCGCCGCTTGAGGAAGGGTCGACCCTTGCTCCTGTATCCCCGGGGGAAACGGATCCCCCGTTCCCGATCGGTGAGACCCTGAACAGGGCTCTTCCCTTCTTGCTGCAACCGCGCAAGTTACAGTCTGGCAAGTGTGAGAGGTTGGGGTTGCGATGGTAGGTAAGGTTTCTTTTTTTTCTTTTTTTGTTCGTGTTTGTTTTGTCAACGCGCGAGAAGAAAACGACGCCTTGGCGGAGCAGGAGAGTTTGTTTTCGTGTCTGGAAACCCCGGGAATGGATTCTGGACATCCCCTGGTGACCGACCCCACACTCTCACGCAAACACTTTGGAGAGCGAGAGGAAGAGAGACTGGAGACGTGGTTCCGCACTGGTCTGGATGCCGCGTGGAAGTCGAGGGTAAAGGTGAACGACAAGGTTTGTGCCGCGATTCGGCCGTGGCCCGCACGTGCGAGGATCTAGGGGGAGTGAGGGGGGGGAGCGGGGGGGGGGGGGGGGG